TATTTTGGATGTATTTTTGGATGCATTTTAAGGATGTTTTTAAATTGATCAGCAAAGTAAAAGCAAACACGTTACAAAATATCTCTAGTTCTAATAAATATTGTTCTTTAAACATTAAATTCATCAAACAAATAAAAAAAAATTGTGTTTATTAATAATGTTTCTTAAACACCATTAGCATATTAGAATGATTTCTGAAGGATCATGTGACACTGAAGACTGGTGAAATGATGCTGAAAATTCAGATTTGCATCACAGGAATGCAAATCTGTATGCCTGTGATACAAAATATAATAAATAGAAAAATTATTTTACATTATAATATCATTTTACTGACTTTACTGTACTTTTCATAAATGCAGCATATAAAATAAAGAGACTTCTTTCAAAAGCATGGGCTTTTTTTTTTTTATCAACCCCATAGGCCTACAGTCTAAATTTAGTATGCAAATATGTCAAATTCTACATATTTTTTCTTCCTACCAAAACAGAAAACTGTGTCCTGAATCATAAGGCTGGCAAGTGCATTTTGTCCTGTTTCATGTCTCTCCTCTAACTAGGCATATATTTCTATGTAAGCATATGTTACATAGAAAAACCACAGACTGATCTCTGATGACATATTGCATGTTGTCAGGGGGTTGTGGTTGTTAACTGGATGTTCTCCATTTGGAGACTTGGCATTATACATTGTCGTTCGTGTTGTTGTACAAATGTATAGACAATCCCATTCACTGTTCAACAAGTGAAGAAGCAGTGCTCATCCTTTCCAAGATGTAATCCATACGGGATAAACAAAATATGTCATGTCATTATTCCAACACTAATATCCAAAGGCAAGGGTCTTCAACCGCGGGTCTGCAGCAGAAGTGCAGGGTCCGCAGTTAATGTCTGATCACAAATACATTTTTGTTTAAACATTTAAAAATGGTTAAAAACATCACAAAGTCCATTTTAAATATAAGCACCCTGAAACGAAAGCAAGAGCACCCTTAATTGATACTGTAATGATGATGGTGAAACCGATTTAGCAAACGCTCTATTGCATTTTTGAGTTTGAGCTCTGGAGCATGAAATGTTCCTTTTTACATCGTGTTTTTGCAGCGGTGGAAAAATGTAGCCAATCACAGGCATGTTTGTTGATCTCTTGAACGCAATGGCCAATCAGAGATGTTTAAGTTAGAATCCACTCACCGCTCACAACACCGGAGATTTTGTTCAGTATGCTCTCTCGCCAATCCTCTATCATTAACAAAGAACAACACGATGTAAGTAAGGGATGCATTATGCAGTGTAGACAACTTTATTGATTTTAATATAACATTGTGAGATCGCGAACTGAAATGAGTGACAGCTTTTTAGTGATTGCAAAGTGAGCGGTCTTTTGCACTTTCGAGGGTACACTCTAAAAAATGCTGGGTTAAATATAACCCAGCATTTTTTAGAATGTATGTATAGCTATAAACCATTGAATAAAAGTATTGCTTTTCATGCTGCTAAGAGGGCCGACGGCCCACACGCTGCTAAGTTTTGGAAGTGACATCTACATAGAGTACAACTGCGTGATTCACTCTAGCACTGGACAAAAATGGTATGTCAAAATAGATACACGCAATGTAAATGCAGACTAATAGATTACTAGAAAAGTATCTATATCAATATATTTTTTAAATTCCATTCCAAATATTTGTAAAAGTAATGTCTTGTAAATAATCTTAAATGTACAGTACATTGCTATTCTTGTTATGGTGGAGCCGTTGCTTACACATTACATCTGCACTTTATTAGAAAACCCTCACTCAGTGATTTGATTCTTAAAGGGATAATTTTTTAGAATGTATGTATAGCTATAAACCATTGAATAAAAGTATTGCTTTTCATGCTGCTAAGAGGGCCGACGGCCCACACGCTGCTAAGTTTTGGAAGTGACATCTACATAGAGTACAACTGCGTGATTCACTCTAGCACTGGACAAAAATGGTATGTCAAAATAGATACACGCAATGTAAATGCAGACTAATAGATTACTAGGAATATGTTCGTATCAAGATATTTTTTAAATTAAATTCCAATTATTTGTAAAAGTAATGCCTTGTAAATCATCTTAAATGTCTCACTGTACATTGCTATTCTTGTTATGGTGGATTTGTTGCTTACACATTACATCTGCACTTTATTAGAAAACCCTAATTTCAGCCTACTCAATGATTCGATTCTTAACTGCCCATCTCACAGTAAAATTTAAATGTTAAGTTTTAGTAAACTTGAAGCTAAAGTTCAGGTAAATGGCTAGTAAAAAATTTATGACTCTACAAATCCATTAAAATAATTTATTACAACTTCAAACAACTAATGAATTGTGTTTGTGTTAGCAAAAGTGTGGCCAGCTTTGGTAACAAGTTGAGATTTTGGAACCATTAATAGGGCCCTGTACCGGAGGATCTCAAGCAGCGATCAGGCTCATAAGGAATTAATAAATCGCAAATATAGGCAGGACCCTTCAAGGCCTTAAAAACAAGCAACAAAATCTTAAAATCAATTCTAAAACTCACAGGCAACCAGTGAAGAGCAGCAAGAATCGGTGTAATGTGGTCACTTTTCTTAGTACGTGTTAAAAGCCTAGCAGCAGTATTTTGAATCAGCTGCAATCTTTGGAGATTTCTCTTGCTAATACCAGAATAAAGTGCATTACAATAATCAAGTCTGGAAGAAATAAAAGCATGAATGACCTTTTCCAAATCTGCCAAAAAAAAGAATTACTTTATCTTCGTTAGTTGCCTTAGTTGTGCAAAACAAGACTGCACCACTTTAGTCACCTGAACATCAAAGGACAGTTCTGAGTCAAAAACTACACCTAAGTTGCGAGCATCTTTTCGAACATTATTAGATAAGGCACCCAGACTAGAGGAGAGATTAATAATACTAGGACTACTGGGGACGCATGGGGTAATTATAAACACTTCTGACTTGGAGTCATTCAACTCTAGAAAATTTTTCGACATCCAATTTTTGATTTCGTATAATATGGGATGTATCAATAATACCAGGCTTTACCGGGACATACAACTGAGTATCATCTGCATAACAGTGTAACTCAATGTCATAACTGTGCATAATTTGACCCAGGGGTTACATGTAGATAGTAAACAGAAGGGGATCCAAAATAGATCCCTGAGGGACCCCACAAAATAAAGGAGCACGAGAAGAGGAGGCATCTCCAAGCACTACGGAAAAAGACCTATTCAACAAATAAGAAATAAACCAATCCAGAGCTACATCTCTGATACAAACATAAGTTTTTAAACGGTTGATCAAGACATTATGGTCCACTGTGTCAAAGGCTGAGCTAAGATCAAGAAGGATTTAAGCAGAGTACAAGCCAGCATCAGCTGCAAGCAGCAGGTCATTAGCAACCTCAACCAGAGCAGTTTCAGTGCTATGTTGGGAGCGGAAACTCGACTGAAATTTTTCAAAGATTAAATTATTATCCATATACAAAATCAGTTGCATTGACACAACTTTTTCTAAGATCTTTGATAGACATGGAAGCTTAGAAATAGGTCTAAAATTACTTAAAATGGAGGGGTCTAGAGAAGCCTTCTTTAATAATGGATAAATAGTGGCATGTTTAAAACATGTGGGAAAATGCCAGAAGACAAAGAACAGTTAATAATAGCTCAAATATCTGGACCAACCGTGTGAAATACTGCTTTTAAAAACCAAGTAGAAAGGCAGTCAGAAGAACAGGAGGAGGATTTTGAAAGTACAACAATGTGTTCCAAGGTAGACAAAGAGATTTCATTCAAATGAGTAAATATTGAAGGTGGACACAAATCAACATCATGATCTCTGAAATCAGTATTAAACTGCTGTCTAATCTCCACTATTTTATTATAAAAATAATTTAAAAAGGCGTCGCAATTCTCTGGAGTAGATTCAACTGGCTGGCTAGGCAAAGGACCTATAATAGAATTAATAGTTTTTAAAAGTATTCTTGGATTATGTCACTGTTTAGTAATCAGGTCGGAAAAATATATGTTCTTGCTTCCTTAACTTTACACTGATAAGTGGACATCAGATTTTTTAAGAGGCAAGGAAGACCTCGTTTATCCTTTTTCCACTTCCGTTCTGCCTTCATGCATAGTTTCTTTAAATTTCTTAATTCTTCATTTAGCCATGGTAAATAAGATTTCAGCTTTCTTACTCTAATTGGAGCTACAAAATCTAAAATATCTCTACAAGAGCTGTTAAAAACACTAACTAACTCCTCTACGGAGAAGTCAGATTGTTGGCTAGTGTTAAAAGGAGAATTAGAGGCAGTGAAAATTTGTTGCATACGCAAGGAGATCAATTACTGAGAAAAGCAATTCGAGACAAGTAAACTGACAGTAATCATCCACAGTGTCTTTTGGTGGATTGTGGAATTTGAGCATGCAGATGTTTTTCAAGACAGACACGACAGAGGCCTTAGTGGTGGGGTGTAGCATCCTTTATTTCAAATACCTTTACAATAGCCCTGAGGCTGGTCTCAAATACATTTTGGACACAAGAAACCTATTGGTAAATTCTTGAAGAACAATTTTGAAGAAGCCTGCATTTGAATAACTAAAGGAGCTAGTGTAGTGTTGACATTGGTAGCACCAAATTTATATTCAAGTTTTATTTTTAATGCTAACAATTAAGTGTACCACAGACTAATGCAGATAAAGAATTGCTAGGACTTGGTTGCAAGCAGGGTCCAAAACAAATGCCAATTCTTTTTTTATTTCCAAGTATATTACAGTTTGTTTGTATGTATATGTATATACACACACAGATAGACAGATAGACAGATAGATAGATAGGTAGATAGATAGATAGATAGATAGATAGATAGATAGATAGATAGAGAGGTAGATAATCAGACAGACAGACAGACAGATAGACAGATAGATAGATAGGTAGATAGATAGATAGATAGATAGGTGATAGATAGATAGATAGATAGATAGATAGATAGACAGATAGGACGTGTTCATTTTGGACCCTTACTGCAAGATACAATTGTTTTTTTTTTTAATGCATTTCAAAGAGTCTAAGTCTGCATCATCATAGAGATTTCAGCTCCTGACCAGAGGAAAAAAAGGACATCAAACTAAATACAGTCATATAGTCAAAGCACTAGAACCAACTCCAACAACTGACATAAACTGTGAAATGGCTTGAATAATCCCTTTACTTTACAAAGAAGTAAGTAACATAAAAAGTAGGTATTTTTTAAGAATTCGGACACAATCATTTACTGTCTTTTATTAAACGAAACAGAGACTATGAAAAACCTTTTAAGTTCAGATATATCATTCACATGAAAAATAGACAAAAAACGAAAACAATCAAAGCTTGTGCTATACTACTCCAGGGAAATCTTGCGGGATACAGTTTGGTAAAAGACCCCAGTAACCAATGAGCGGTAGTCGGGTACTTTGAAAAGGTGGTGGTAGGCATACGTGTTGTCATAGGGACGGCCTCGGCTCACCAAGGTGCGCAGGTGCGCTTCGTTTACCTGGTTGCCCGCGGCCAGCACATACAGCTCAATGCCAGCATTGCTCACCTGCTCCACGGCTTTTTCAATCTGGTTGATGTTGACGCCTTGGGAACGACCATCTGAAAACACCAGCAGCTTCTTCTTCCTCGTCCTACCACCTCTGAAGCGCTCAATGGCGAAGTTTAGAGCATTTGTTACCTGAGTACCTGCATTCTGGAACTTGGCTTCTGCGATTTGAGCAACCACCTGGGTGGAATTTGAGGCAAATTCGGCCTCTATGTTGGCATTGTTGCTGTACTGGCCAACACCAACCCTGACCTGGAAGTTTCCTCTTTCTGCTGACAAAAAGCGCTTAGCCAGCATTTTTGCGAAGTCCTTGGTCATCTCAAAGTTCTTGGAGCCCACGCTGGCCGAGCTGTCCATCATGATGAGGACATCAGTGTTGTCAATAAATGAAACTGGACAAGAGGAAGAAGGTGTAACCATTATCATCTCATGGTCAAAACACTGACAAATGTGGTTTGTGTTCTCAAATCAATACTTACTTGGACAAGTATAGGTGGGACACTTCTTGTCTGTGAAAAAAGCACAACGTTGTAAATATCTCTCAAAATCAAATCCAGAACCCACAAAGCTCCCTAGATGTGCAGTAGATACAGTACTTAACCTACCTTCACAGATTTTCTCAGTCAGGTTTTGCAGGAAACTGTCATCCAAAAGAAGACCAAAGTTGTTTAAGACAAAGGAGAAGCCTTCTCTGGGATCATCTTTACACACAACCTCATCAAGCTGTTCTGGATTGGGCTGCCTTTCTGCATAATCCGTCACTCCAACGCCACCAACCTGCCAGAAACCAGAAGAGAGTCAAAGTTTCCATCTACCGGGACATCCTTTCTGGTTGTGGATTTTATTTAACCTCATGTCATGGGACCGTACTTGCATGCCAATAACATCAAATGTCATTGGATCACAAGTTTTCCTTAACCAAACATCACATCTGTGGGATATTTGATTCATATCATTGAATAATCAATTTAACTTCTGTGAAAGCCGTTTCTATACACCTCCTCAAAAATCCACACAGCTGCATTAGTTGATTAGCACAAAGTTCAATGCAGGGTCATTGGAAAAATGTGCCACTTCTGCAAAATGATATTATGTTGCTTCTTGCACATTTTGCTACACTTTCAAACTTAAATATCCAGTGAGAGGCACTAAAAGCATGCTCAGCTTAATCCGAAACAGAAGTACGTGAATTTGCCAATGTTTTATTATAATGTTGGTTGTTGTACATATTGCGGCAGTTCAGAAATTAAATGTCCAGTGAGCGGCGTTAAAAGATCATGTCTGAAAATACTAAACCTTACAATGAACCTTATCAATGCTTTTTAACAAAAGCAAACGTGAGATAAAAACTCGTATGCTGAAGCAACCATGCAATTTTAGCTCTTTTAATGTGACTCATTTTTTGGGGGGACTCGTACCTGAGTGCTCCGCATCGCAAATGCAATGCTGTACCGGGTGTGCTAACAATCAAGTTTACTATATCAGGATGGCCATACATATGAAGCTGGTTATGTGATGCAATTGTCAAAATGTATAAGTTTATAAATCATATGCTATGGTAAAAGTATTTTGAGGTCATTGTGCAAGGAACTGTGCAAAAATAAATCCTGATTAATTGATAATCAGCATAATTAACAGGAATAAATGTTGTTGGTGCTTTACTGCAACTAATGTTTATTTCAGCTGGGAATTGGAAAATGGAATTGTATGGTTATGTACAGGAGTGTTGCAAAAATATAAGTGAACTTGAGGCACGTTTTTTTTTTTTTTTTTTTTTTTTCAAAAAACTGTTGTCCAAGTTTACCTTCAGTCCCTTGCCACACAGCACGTTTAGGGGCACTTTGTCCCTTAAGGTGTCGGAGCGTCCATCAGTAAGGACAATGACCACGCTCTTCTCCGTCACAAGCTTGTTAATCATGTTGTTTAGCGAGTACTGCAGAGCTTCTCCAGTGTACGTGGCTTCAGCCAGCCAGCGCAAGTCTTTCACAGCTCTAAAGTGAACGACAAGATCATTTTTCTTGAATTCTTCAGACACAATGCCAGACATGCGCACATAATGCAAGCTCGTATGATGAGAAAACAAATAGTTTCAAGCCACAGAAGCGTATCTTGAAGTTGTTTTTGCCATATTGTGTGCAGACTGTGGCTTTTAACAAGAGAACATTGATATTTCATACTGTTTTAGGTCTGTCAGGGTCTTAATGTTGGGGTCACCAAGCTGTATGACCTCCTGAGCACTAGCACCGCTGTACTGCACCACGCCAATACGAGACTCATTGGCACCAAACTGAAAGAAACAATGCCACATATTCAACATTGGAGAGGAGGACCAAATGTAATAATTTATGAATCAACCGTTGAAAACCCCATTTCGGTCGACCACTAATCTGAATAAAAAAATGTGTCTCCCTCTGTGTATATGGTTGTTATAACTCAACAAATCAAAGTTGACAGATAACTGAAATGTTAACAAGTCTCATAGTGATCTAAAAAGTTTACCTGTCTTAACTTGAGCCTGTCCATTACCGTCACAATGAAGTCTTTAGCGATGGCAAAGTTAGAAGCTCCAATACTCTCAGAGCTGTCCACAATGAAGGCAATGTCCAGGGGTCCGCATTTGCATTCTTAAACAAAAAAACATGCTTATAGAGAAGATGGCATTCCAAAACGCTAAATAAAATCTCACTTTGAAACTTTTTTAATATACTTCAAATTCTTGGGACTTACCACAGCAAGCTGAAAGAAAGAAATTAAGGAAGAAAGAGAGAACACATTACATTTGCATCAAATTTGACAATATCAGGCAGATCAGAAACGCATGTTCTGTCAAAACATTCACAGTAAGGGATCCACAATTATTTTGCAGTTTTACAGATGGAAGAATCTAATCTGGAAACAATAAGCGTTCATAAAAGTTTATTCATTCACGCTTAAAAAAAAATCAGTTAATGCTCTGACCAAAATAGCTGACAGTTTAATCAGCTTATGTTTGAATTTACAATCCAAAAGCAGAATTTCAAAAAGAGCATAATCTGTTTAATCTTTGGTGGCAATAATGAACAGAACAATGGCTTACATAAGCCTCTAATATACAGACATAAAATAAACCAATCTGTGAAAGTCTGGACAGAACAACGCAAAAGTAATATGCTCAAGATGATGAATGCACAGGACTAAAGCCCAAGGGTCGTATGGGGAGAACCTTAATTTCCCAAAAATATGGACAGTATTAAGTAAAACAGCAGCCCACTACATATTATTGCATCTGATTGGTTAATACTGTCGAATCCCCTTCCTTCAAACTGGCGTGTGCTTTCACACTGAACCTTTACACAATTCTGTTCAAAGAATCAGTGTTTTCTCTCTAATTAGATTAGTCCTGCTTTCACATGCCCAGATGGTGATATTAAATATCTAAGTTAAGCTTCCAAAACGAATGTTTATGATAAACATGCACAATATATGCGCATTTAAATGAATCCATTCTGGGTTAAAGGCTACGGCTCCAACAAGAGTTATGAAACAAAATAATGAATATCCTTTCAAAAACAATTAAGAGATGATTCTGTGACTTAATAATCTGAAGAATTATTTACATATGACATATTATATGAATGCATGATTTCCACAGTGTTTTGGGAAAAAAGCACATTTATATAGAAATGGTGGTATTAAGTTTTTGAAAACGAAGTTGTGAACACTGAATGAACACACTGAATGAGTTTTTGTGAACACTGAGCTGGCTAGGTGGATTGCTGTATCATCACTTTATGGCACGAGCCAACATTACGTTGTTAAATCAATGTGGGTGACAGGCAGTACACCATTTATGGAGGTAGTGAAATGGAATAGTGAGTCATGGGTAAATACAAAAGCAGGTCTACTCACAGCACATCTTCATGATGATATCCAGAATCTCACATTCCTACAAAGAGAGAGACAGACAGTAATAGAGAAGACTGCTGCCTCTGCAACTGATTTTCTCTGTTTATATTTTGTATCACAAAATGGAGCTACACATCCATGTTGTTTTAATTACAGGAAATTCTGTTGCACTTTGTGCACAACACTCCCCAAAGACTCACAATTACTGCAAATACACTTTTTAAAAGTGCATTTCCTCTTGTGCTGAAGGATGAAAGCACATACTATACCAACATGCAACAAAGAGGTAATCAGGAATTAAATTTCCCAATGTTTTGATAAAAAAGATTGTACTAAAAAAATAAAAATATTTCTCTCCAGTAAAAAAAGAGGCAATTTATTGAATTTTATTATTTTTTTTTTTTATATCAGACATAATACCATACCATATTTACATATCAACAACGCATACTTGGCAATCAGAAACTTGTCACAGTACTAAGAGAGAGATTATAATATTCCTAAAAACCAGAATAACTAATAATAAATGTAAAATGTGGTACACTTTGAGCAGTTTCTGGTGGTGTAGCACCTACAGCTCTGCAGATCCTTCTGAAGAACGAGTAGAAACGAGCAGCTGAAGTTTAAGGTCCATTGTCAGTGCGATTTTAAAAATTTATGCAGCACATTTTAGCACAGATTGCTTAGTAAACCTGTCACAATGGAACGTTAAAAACATATGTCAAAATACTTGTTTAAACTGATGTCTTAAAAGCACAGTAGTAAAATAACAGCCTGTTTAATTTTATAATGGTCGAAACAGTCTAATGGTCACTTAATTTAATGTTTGGGGGATAAAAAAAACTTTATGAATTATAGAATTTTTTATTTTTTTTTAAATGTACAAAATCTAAATGTCACTTAAAGACGGCACATCTATAGTGTCATGCATTCATTTCATTGCATATGCAGTTGGAACAAGCCAGCTGTTGTGTGCTATAGAAAGATGCTTTTATTCCACAAAAGGAGTAGTCTAGTATGTGCTTGGGCCTTGGCTAGAGATTTCCATCGCTACTGACTGTCAGCGATGTGGAATTCACAAAAATAACGGAAAGTGAATCGTGGAATGTCCAGAATCATTTATTATCAAGAGCACTGTCACCATTTGCACTGCTCTTTGTCTCTTAATTCAGGAACTGTGCTGGAACATTTGCATTAGACTATATCCAATAATGTGTGCCTTTCTTAGATTTGTGCATTCAATTAAACTCAGTTTGTTTAAAGTAAATTCACTCACATCAGTTCCTTGAGGCCCAGGTGGTCCTATTGGTCCCTGTGCATGAAAACAAGACAGATGAAATGTACGATGTGCACATGAAGTCACACACCAAATGCAAATATGACTCCTTCTGTAATATCGAACAACATAAAGAGGTCTGTGCAAAGGCCACTGTCTGCTTTGTTTTGTCCTACACAGATATAATTCTGCCAGACCAAAGAAGCTCTGAATCTCTTTCCAAATAAGAGCATTTTTGAGACCGTCAAGTCTCCTCCTCTCTGGATGTCATCCAGTGGCAAAGAGGAACATCACAAAATTGCAGGCTGAGAAAAATGTCCCTTCCCACACTCCCATAACTCATTGCTGTTCAGAACCGTTCTACATAACTGAAGATCTGTACACTTAAAAACTTATCTAAATGTCACTCTTAAAGACGGCACATCTATAGTGTCATGCATTCATTTCATTGCATATGCAGTTGGAACAAACCAGCTGTTGTGTGCTATAGAAAGATGCTTTTATTCCACAAAAGGTAAAGACGGCACATCTATAGTGTCATGCATTCATTTCATTGCATATGCAGTTGGAACAAGCCAGCTGTTGTGTGCTATAGAAAGATGCTTTTATTCCACAAAAGGAGTAGTCTAGTATGTGCTTGGGCCTTGGCTAGAGATTTCCATCGCTACTGACTGTCAGCGATGTGGAATTCACAAAAATAACGGAAAGTGAATCGTGGAATGTCCAGAATCATTTATTATCAAGAGCACTGTCACCATTTGCACTGCTCTTTGTCTCTTAATTCAGGAACTGTGCTGGAACATTTGCATTAGACTATATCCAATAATGTGTGCCTTTCTTAGATTTGTGCATTCAATTAAACTCAGTTTGTTTAAAGTAAATTCACTCACATCAGTTCCTTGAGGCCCAGGTGGTCCTATTGGTCCCTGTGCATGAAAACAAGACAGATGAAATGTACGATGTGCACATGAAGTCACACACCAAATGCAAATATGACTCCTTCTGTAATATCGAACAACATAAAGAGGTCTGTGCAAAGGCCACTGTCTGCTTTGTTTTGTCCTACACAGATATAATTCTGCCAGACCAAAGAAGCTCTGAATCTCTTTCCAAATAAGAGCATTTTTGAGACCGTCAAGTCTCCTCCTCTCTGGATGTCATCCAGTGGCAAAGAGGAACATCACAAAATTGCAGGCTGAGAAAAATGTCCCTTCCCACACTCCCATAACTCATTGCTGTTCAGAACCGTTCTACATAACTGAAGATCTGTACACTTAAAAACTTATCTTGGCTCCTCTGGACAGTGTAAGAGCTGGGTTGATTACTTCTGAAAATATAATAACGTCAATCATCTTGTGAATGTATCTGATTTGGATTTTTTTTAATTTTTTTTATCGTTAATCAGGTTTAGTTCCAGATTTTTGACATATTTTAGGTTAAGTGAGCAAGTCAAATGTGGCCAGTGGTGTTTTTGATACTATCTCAAGCTACCAATAAAACTTGTTTTTTCACTGTCTGCTTTGTTTTGTGCTACACAGATATAATTCTGCCAGACCAAAGAATCTCTTTCCAAATAAGAGCATTTTTGAGACCGTCAAGTCTCCTCCTCTCTGGATGTCATCCAGTGGCAAAGAGGAACATCACAAAATTGCAGGCTGAGAAAAATGTCCCTTCCCACACTCCCATAACTCATTGCTGTTCAGAACCGTTCTACATAACTGAAGATCTGTACACTTAAAAACTTATCTTGGCTCCTCTGGACAGTGTAAGAGCTGGGTTGATTACTTCTGAAAATATAATAACGTCAATCATCTTGTGAATGTATCTGATTTGGATTTTTTTTAATTTTTTTTATCTTTTATCGTTAATCAGGTTTAGTTCCAGATTTTTGACATATTTTAGGTTAAGTGAGCAAGTCAAATGTGGCCAGTGGTGTTTTTGATACTATCTCAAGCTACCAATAAAACTTGTTTTTCTAACTTTTATTTGGCCAAAATTTCGGGGTTAGATTTGTTGATCACATTCCATTGAATTTCTCAACAAAAAGTCGAACTGAACTTTTTTGTGCCTTTGGATGTCAGACATTTGATGCAGATCTCAAAAGTTCCAAGACTACGGTGGCCGAGAGAGCTCAATACGCTGCAACTTAAGAAAACACATGCAAATTGAAAAAACACCAGCAAATTAAGAAAACATCTTCATCAGTTTGACAACACACGCACTGCAAATCTTCACAGCACATGCAAATGAAGAAAGGCGCTGCAAATCCTCACAACACATGCAAATGAAGAAACGCGCTGCAAGTAGCACGGACCACAACGGAAATGTTTCAAGGGGACCCAAAAAAGTGCGTTGAGCTCTCTCGGCCACCGTACAACACTCAAATCTAACAGCAGATCAGTATGTTTTGTTTTGTTTCACTGATCCAAAATATAGATGCAGTGTTTAAAGTATGCCAGGATACTGACATAAACACTATAAATGGTGCAGAATAATGTGCTCATATGAACGTTCATTGGAGAACATGAATCATGATATGAACGAATATGTCAACTTTTATAATTAACCCTTACATTACATACACCAGTAGCTAAAAACATGAAATGGTGCACTCACATCTTTTCCTTCCGGTCCTCTGTGACCTTTGGGTCCTTTAGGCCCAGGTAGTCCTGGTCTGTTATTCTGTGGAACACAACATATAAACATTTAGGCTGGAAAATACAATGTTGTTATTAGTAGCTGTACTATTTTAATATGGTGAATATGTCATTTACATTGTAAATAAAACATATTTATATTAAATATTTATGTTAAAATTGTATATTTTGTGAATTTAGAAACATTTAGAGATTTAGTAAATATTAAGTAAAATGAGTGTATCATTTTTATTTAGTTCGCATTTTCTGTGTGTCCCATTTGTGACTATTACATTTTATGCAGTGGGATCCACTTGTGAAAATGTGCCACTATTTGCCTTTTTTCTAATATTATTATTTACATTAAAATTATATTATCAGTATAACATTTAAAGAGAAAATATTATTTTAAATTATAATAGTTAAAATATAACAGTTATGTCAACAATGGCATAATTTCATCTGCTAATTTCCAGGTTTAAATTAGACTCTTGATTCCAGATTTTCAGACTTTTGGACATCACTATTATATTATTACTATAAGCATCGCAATCAGCTGTTTCAAACTCTCCCAGACAACTATCTCGCACCATATAAACAATTTAGATGGTCGCCAATAATTCAGCTGCCTCTGCACAGTTCTGCCTCCAACCCAGCAGATACATTCATCCCTTCATTAAGGTCAGGCGGTGAGATAATACTAACCACCTGTCCCCATTTTCAAGTCGTTTCTCCCATGCTGCTTCAATTACCTTCAAATTCCTCACTTTAAAGTCCACAACTGTCACAGACGTTTTCCTAGCGAGCTCACAGTAGGGACAAGGTTAAATGATGCCGTCATGCTAATATTGTTTTGGCTCATTGTGATTACCTTGACAGATACGAGACCAAGTGTGGGCCCCTTGGGTTTGGGAGAGGCCGGAGGAGCCCAATCAATTGTTTACAAGGACAGAAAAACATTTCCAAACAGTCTTGGAAAGCAGAACGACAGAGCCAAACATAAGGAAGAGTAAAGCACCTTCATGGCTCATATGGAACAGATGTGAGGCCCTGAATATGAATGTATACAAAATAATGTACACACCATTAAATCAAACACTTTGCATTAGCACAAACATAATAAATACATAAATTTTGCCAAGTAATAACACATTCACCTAGAAAAATAAACATATATCACTGTTAATATGTATAATCAATGCAGTGTATGTATGCAGTGTTTATGCACGCGTCAAACAAACGCAGATAAAGTGACCAAATCACCTGACAGCTGTACTAGAGGAATCTTAGAAAAAGTCAATAAAGTAAATAAACAGAAAAGTCAGAATTGTGAAATGTAAACTCACAATTGTGAGAAAAATGTACATTTTGACAGTCAGAATATAAATAAATCAGTTATAAACTTGCAATAAGACTTTTCTTAGACTTTTTTTTTTCTCAGAATTGCGAGTTTACATCTCACAGTTCTGAAAATCTTGTAATTCTGAGTTGTGCAATTGTGAGAAAAAAGTCTGAATTATGAAATATAAAGTCAGAATAAATAATAAACAAGTCAGTTATAAATACACTAAGACTTTTCTTCTCAGAACTGTGTTATCATCTTGCATTTCAGACTTTTTTAAAGAAGTTAATATTTTGCAACTCTGAATTTATGTCTCGTAAAAATTTAGACTTTTTATCTCACAATACAAAGTTTGTATCTCAAAATTTCGACTTTTCTTCTGTTCTGAGTTTACAGTATATCTCGCAATTGCGATTTATAAACTCCAAATTATAAACTTGCAATTCGGACTTTTTTTCTTGTGATTATCTCTTAGTTTATTTCTCACAATTCTGAAAAATAAGGAAAATAATTGCTTATTTCCGGCACAGAATTTAAAAAAAGGTAACTGCGACTGTTTATCTCACAATTCCAGTAGCCCCTCACTGCAGAACACAAGATCCAGGGGGCGAGGTTGGATCCACATCTAGGGGGAGGAGATGGGTGGGTTTAGGGATCAGAGGGTGGAGATTGGTAGGTTTAGGGGTGGAGATGGGTGGGTTTAGGGATCAG